GACAACCATCAAATTTTTTAAGAAAAAATCATAGTTTAGGACTTTAAGTTGATTACTTTTCATTCTTTGTTGCTCTGTACACAATTCTATGATCTATAACAGTATGACATGCTACATATGGTCTATGGACAATTTTGTGATGACTGAGGATGCATTAATTTTTTTGTCTAGTGAAATTTTTTTCCTGAACTAGGTAAAACTAATCAAAACTCTTTGTTGTTAATTGATTTTTTGCTAGCTGGAGTCTTTGCTAAGCAAGGCTCTACTGTAAATGCGTTTTACGGAGTGTCCCTTATTACCCCGTTGTGGCAGAAATGGCCGCCATTTTTTTCTGGAATGAGATATGCTAATTCTGTCAATTACATTTTTAGGCCAACACCTGTTTGCAACTTTTATGTAAGTATTATTTTATATTTTTTAATGCAGAGAATTTTTTTTCTGCAGTCTCAAGTCTGCAGACCTTAGCACACATTCACATTGCTTGTACTCCAAATTTAAAGACATTGTAATATAGTCATTAATTTATTTTAAATATAGTACATGGCAACAATGTACATACAAATTTGGAATAAATAGCAAGGTTTGTCTTGGACATTTGCTTCATGAGGCTGGACTTAAGGATAATTTTTGTTGCTAATTTATTTATAATTTATTGTTCAATTGTGTCTGAGTGTTGCCTAAAATAATATAAAAATCATTCCCCATTCATGTTCTTTCCCACATAATTAGCAATTTGTTTTTAAAAATGCAAAATGACTTCAAAAGTTATGCACAACATTTTTGCATCCATTGTAGTTACACTAACAAAGTGTATAGGTAGTTCTGCATCTGTTTATGGAAGTTTCTGAGCTCGTTTGAATAAGCATGACACGAGTTGACTTTTTTCCAAATAATCTAAATTTGGTAAGTAAACTATCATGTTAAATCTCTTAAAATAAAGAGATTAAAACAAAAATAATTTCAAGCACATAAATAAACTTTAAAAGATAAAACCCAAATCAGATAATAAATATTTATTACCGTCAACCGGGGCAACTCGGGACTGGCGGGGTAACTCGGGACGCACCTCTGACACGTCGTAAAACAGTCATAGTAGCGAAACTAATTGGAATATTGCTAAACTAAATATAGTGGCCTAAACAACAACATTTTTCCTATCTATGTAGTATAAAGGAAGTCGAAAAATACGACATTTACTAGCTTTGAAAAATTCCTGGAAAAAATTGTGAAAAACGCTACTTTGAAAAGTTACTTCTGCCTAGGTCTGTAGCAAAAAAAAAAATTTGCCGTATTAAAAAATTTTACTTACATAAAAGTTGCACCCAGGTATCGGCTTGAAAACTCTCGGGACACTCTTTTTTTGCTTCTGGCACCTTACGAATAGCATATGGAATTTTTTTGAAGATGCCATTCGATAGCCCTCGTAAAGAGCTATAAAATGAGCCTAAACTTGTTTATGAAATGTTTCATCGTAAGAAGTTATTAACAAAAAACGCTCAAAACCGTCCCGAGTAGCCCCGGTTGACGGTATAAATTATTTTGTGTAATCAATGCAGTACACGCATTTGTTCAAGCAGGGCTGGAAAAGTCCTATTTTTTCTGAAATATTGCGGCTCTAATATCATTATTTCAGTAGGTATGAAATCTCATGGCTCTAATGTCATGAATTTTTGTTTGATTGTAAAAATTGCGGTTTGCACTTTGCAAACATGTTGCTTCATAAAATTTTCAACTTCTGCAATCCGCAGTATAGGTATACCTATACTTCAGTGCTCCCGCCTCCTGGCAAAAGAACATGCAGAATGTAATAACCAAGTCAACCCAAAATGTTTCCTTGAAGATCGCGTAGTTGAGGTCACATCAGAGCGTTCAGACTGAACTATCACTTGTTCAGTTGCCGCTTAAGTGAAGTCAAATGATAGTGACTGTTTTGAGGGTATTATTAGAGATGTGGGGTAACACGCACATGGGACTTTGTAAATAATAAGTTCGCTGCTCGTAAATGGCTTTTCATGGCCGAGATATGGAATTCACGGCTCTAAAAAATGGAATCACGGCTGGCAAACCCATGAAGCCACGGCTCAAAAAATCCAGCTCACCATGTAGATATAGTATTCCATGCCTGTTTTAAAGTATGTTAATGCAATTATTTTGTATCATTCAAGAAGACTTCAAGAAACGGAACAAAACTAAGATTGTGGAGGCGCAGGGTTGGCGATTTTTTTGATTTTTTTTAAAAAATAAAAAATCAATGATTTTTTCATGATTTTTTGATTTATTTGATTTATTTGATTTTTTTATTTTTTCAGCTTTTTTGTCTTTTTGAAGTGTTATTTTTCATGTTGCAATTAGCCTACTAACAATAACAGTATGTGGATCATAATGGATAGCTAAAAAGGGCACTTATTGCCTTCAATAATGGCCAACAGGCCAAGGTGGTGTTTACCACTAAGGGATTTTTTGGTAAACAATTTTTGATAAGTATGATTACTGATAAGTTTTGATAAGATCTTCTAAACCAGTGGTTCCCAAACTTTTTCAGGCTGGCGCCCCTTGGCTCCCCAGTGAATCTCTAGCGCCACCCCCCCCCCCCCGCTGACAGACACATATAAAAACAAACACCTCTTTCTTTATATTTACTACACTGCAATTTTGAAAGAGAAAAGTTAAATAAACACAGATCTTTCCACAGGCTCCCAAAGATCTTTCCATTGCCCCCAGGTGGGCAATATCACCCACTTTGGGAACCACTGTTCTAAACATTGAAGTCACACAACAGATAGGTAGCTGATAGCACAGTGCACAGCACTATCAATAGATCTACTAGTTTTATGTCCTATAAATCTACCAGACTCTACCCTCTTTACACACCGACTGGTAGTGACTGAGTGACTGACTGCACTATTCCCATTTAATTCAGACCAATAAACCAATACCACTAAACATAAACTGAACGATAACCAAACAAACCTCATACGACTTGAAACGAGACTTAAGTTATGAGAAAATATTTTAATTACAATACTTGTATTAGGGTGGAAAATCTTTCTAATTGCCTAAAAGGTCAATACAATCTCAACCTCTCAATATACAGGGTGGGGCAGAACCGATTGAGCAGTTTTGAGGTAAAATAAAAAAGTAATGGAGGTACATAAAGAAGAAAGTTTATTTTCCTAGAGGTTAGCATAACATACCATTTAGAATACGGTACTTATGTTTTGAAAACAATATCTGGAAGATGGGGGCCATTAGCTGCAACACACTGTTGGAGTCGTTCTCAGAGGAGGGAGTAACCGTAACAGTGAATTCCGATCGCTATGCTGCAATGTTGCAAAATTTCTTGCAGCCCATGATGGAAAACATTGTTGAAAATGAAGCATTTTGAGACGTGTGATTCCAGCAGGATGGGGCTACAGCTCACACAGCCCGAATGTCACTCAATGTTTTGAAACGCATGTTCCCAGACTATGAGGGGTGATTTACAGTGGCCTGCGAGGTCACCTAATTTGAGCATTTGCGATTTCTTTCTTTGGGGACATCTAAAAGAAAGGGGTTCAGAAGTTGCCCTCACACCCTACCACAGCTAAGGGAATGGATTATTGTAGCAGTGGTTATGGTCATACCTCACCATATGTGTAAACATGCTGTAAAAAACTTCAGAGAACGACTCCCAACAATGTGAGGCAGCTACCAAACCCCATCTTCCTGATATTTATTTCAAAACGTAAGTATTTTAAATGGTATGTTATGCTAATCTTGAGGAAAATAAACTTTCTTCTTTATGTACCTACCTCTATTACTCTTATTTCACCTCAAAACTGTTCAATCAGTTCTGCCCCACCCTGTATAAGCTAGCTAAGACATTTAAATTGTATAGGTATTGTAATCAATATATAACAAATGGTCAAATAGTTAGAGACTACTTATAGCCTTATAAAAATTAGCTAAGCTGCTAGCTGCGTACAATGTATTGCACACTTGATGCCTCTGTACCAAAAACATTTCAATTTATGGAACCTAATACACACTAAAGGCAACAAGTTTATATACCAATTTGTCATTCATAGTACATATATACTAAACCATGAATAACAATACCTCAATATAAATTAAAGACTGCTACTCAATATATTTAAATATATGAAAAAATCAAAAAAATTGAAAAAATAAAAAAAATCATGATTTTTTTATAAAAAAATCAAGTGATTTAATCACATGATTTAATCATTTTGATTTAATCATTGCCAACCCTGGTGGAGGCAAAAGGACATGGAAAATGCTCTTGCATCCTGCAGATATGAGAATCTTCACTCTTCATGTGCTGCCTGCATGCTCATGCATGTGCCACGCAAGACTCGGGTCGCACCGTTGCATCACTTTGAGAGTCGAGGAGGGCTATGTACCAGGCTAACCAACCATGCTTTCAGAAGAGCATGAGCTGTCACTCTGTTATTACATTGAGTATCGTTCCAATAGAGGTTTTCCTATGACCGTGGCCCAAATCTTAATGTATGTCTGGCGCACTGGCCGCAGGTTTTTAGGAGAGAGGACCTTCTAGGTATGGTGGTTGAAGTTTTGTTTCAGAGACCCTGAGTCGGTCAAACGTCGGAGTGCCAAAGGCTTAGATTGTGGCCAAGCAATTTTTTTAGCAAATGAAAATTAGATGAACTATTTTCCATTATTGCGAGAGGTTCATGAGCATCATAACTTGAGTGAATGGCCCCATATCACTGATTTGTCTAATTAATCTGAGATTTTGCATACCTACTTTCATAGTCAGAGATAATGTTTGAATCAATTTACAGAATAAAATTCAATAAATAATTTTAAAATTTAAAATTTAACAATTTTTTCAAATGGGTATAAAAAGAAATTTAATTTTTTTTAAATATACCTATAAAAATAATATTAGAAATTCATTGTAGATGGGTAACATCAGAGACAGTTGTATCTTTAGAAGTGTTGTCTTAAAGAAGTAATTTTTAAACCCATAGGTACTATTATTACAAGTTGATTTATTTTCTTCCAGGATACTATTTATATTTCTTAAGGCCTTATCCAGAGTATTTTGTAGGAGCTTCAAATAAATTTTAGCACCAACATGTTGGTACTGTCAAGACTTCTTGTTTTTGTATTGGCAAGCTTTTCCTGTCTACATATTGTTTTTGCTCTGTCCGATGGTGAGTTAGAGTTTGATACTTTTAAAATTTTCATGATGATTTTTATCTGTAGTTTTAATTTTGACTGCAAAAAATTAGAAAATATATCTATTTTTATTGCTATATAAATAAGAGCCACTTAACAACCTATCAATACATTTGTGAAATCTTAGGCAGCCTGCAAGCAGGATGTAGTTATAGAAATTCTGGTCTGAAAAGCTGAATATGGCTCCTGTTGTCTTTGCTGCCAAGTTTGGGAGATGATTTCTACCAAAATGGTGGCTCAAAAATGGCGTATTTTAAAGTTTTGACCAATTTAAAATCATGCATACGGTACTGTATAGTTCATGTCATGACAACTACTCAATCATGTTTGTAATTGTATTGACAAGTAAATTTAAGTAGATTGTGGATTGTTCAATGCTTACATAGTGACTGCAACTTTGACATGGTCAACATGGATTTGACATCATGTATAAAGTTTCCAGTGCCTCTGACACTACAAGACAGAAAGCATGCATGGATAATTATAATTTTATGAAGAGGCTTCTCACATCTATTTAAGTAGAAATTTAGCAACTTTCAATGTTTGTGGCTTAGATTTCTTTTTTCTCCTGCTTTGGAAAGTTTTATCGCTTGGAAAATGAATTCTTGACTTTGAAATATTTTTCCTGGCTGTAAAATCGATGAATTAGATGAATTGATAAAAGTCCAATAATCCAGTTTGGTAGGAATATTGGCTGATTAATTCAATATGGTTCCAGTTGCATCATTTGCTTCATTGCCAACTGAGTCATTGTGAAGTTTGAGTCCATAATTGAAAATATTCCCCTCCAAATTCTCATGCTCATGGTATTTGTAATCAAAGACTCTCAAATAATCGATGCAAGTAAGATGGATTAAATACCTTTATATATATATATTTATATATAAACACTTTTGGTTGGTAATTTTATCAATTTTAGTAGGTACCGTATAGCATAAGTACCTAGTTATAATAAAATAATTCCCATTATTGATAAATGTTATTGATTAATGTATTTTTATACTCAGTAGAAGAAGGATCTAAGTCTGTGGATCGCTTCACAGTAGAAGGCATCGTGGAGCGTCCGCTCAACTATCCTCAAGATGAGGCTGAATTCTTTGCTGGCACACGCATCTACACCAACACAGGATATCAAGCATTTCTCAAGTTAGTTATAAAGAGACCTCTCTTCTTTGCCAGCCAATAGTCTAGTCAGGATACATTTGAAGTGAATTTATTACATGATCAAATTCAACCTGTACATACTTGTATGTTAATAATCGTTTCATTTATACAAGTCAATGTTTTTCCATAGAGCATATGGCCACTGGTTTTATTTCTGTATTGTTTCTTATTTGATGGGTAATTTTTTATTTAAGCTGGAAATTTACTAGAGCTCATTGTTAAAATATTCCACCATGTGTGCCAACTTTGAAGTCACCTGAGGCAGTGAGGCACTCAATGATGAACTTGGATCAAAATTTATTAGGGGAAAGCTCCCTAGCCATTAGCACTACAGTAGTAGTACCAAGTCTTTCTCTTATTTCTTAAGGAAGTGAAACAAACATATGCTCATGTGTTCTCAAGCTTGAGAAGTTTCACAGTACAAAATTATTACCATGAGAAACAAACTTTTTAAGAGCAATAAAATCTTTATCTTTGATAAGAGCAATTAAGATTTTGTTCACAGACTAATTATGAAATATATTGTTTCACTATTCTGTAGATATTTTATGTACATATTTTTTTCTATAATTAATAAGTCTCAATCTAAAAGTAGTCAGTAAATTGGCATCATTATTTTCTACATTACATGCTATCAAAAGTTCATCCTTGAATACTGCAGTTCAATGGGTTACAAATAACTGACGGTGATATTTTACAGGGCAAATGGTTCATTTGTGCTGCACAACCTGCCCTGGGGCTCCCACTTTATCCATGTGGTGACCCCAAACATCCTCTACGCTCCCATCAGGGTTGACATCAACTCCAAGGGAAAATGGCGTCCACGTAAAGTCAACTACCTTCAGCCTTCCAAAGTGGAAGTGGTTAGTAGCCTCTAGTGACTGCCTTTATGAAGGCAACTACCTTCAGCTTTCTAAAATCGAAGTGGTTAGCAGACTCTAGTGTAGGCCTCTGTAAAGTCAACTTACTCAACTACCTTAACAATTCTAAAGTCGAAGTGGTTAGTAGCTTCTAGTGTAGACCTTCAGCATTCCAAAGTCGAAGTGGTTAGTTGATTCTAGTGTAGGCCTTTGTTAAGTCAACTACCTTAAGGCTGGTAGGAAGGGTACGTCCGAGAGCGAAGTATTCGCGACCGCGGTGTGAAATCCTCGTTTGGTCCTTAGCTTGGCCAGTTTCTGCTGTTGAGCCTGTAGTCATTGTTATATAATATCCGAGCCCTTACCTACAGGAAGTGGCAATCAGTCACTTCCTGGGCGTTGGGTTGGGCAAAGGATCTGAAGATCTGCTTCCACACATCTGGCCACCGAGGTCACCTGATCTCTCTCCCCCTGTGATTATTTCTCATAAGGTTACGTCAAGGAACATGTTTACTTCCCGCCTCTACTGATCAGGGGCCATACTTTCAAAACTCGCTAAGTGAACGTAAGTACTTACGCTCTATTATCTTGTCTATGATTGGTGGATTTTGCTAGAAAGGCCGTCAATGATTGGCTGATGAACTTACGATTTGTTGACTTTTTTTGAAGTACCGTATCACTGCTACGGTGCACTCAGTAACAGAAGATATGCTTTCTTGTGTGTGGGACGAGTTTGGCTACCGTTTAGATGTTTGCCGTGCACCACGAGGGGGGACATATTGGACAATTATAATTATGTAAAAAATGTTGAATCTTTTTCTTTCCATTGGTTTATTAATTATTAATTTGAAACTTAAACTTATATAAATATGGAATTATTTATTTTGAGTCCATCATTTAAAACAACACTGAAGATAGTTGTAATGGTAACATTATTATCAGAGATGCTTTTTCTTCATGGCCAGAGGTTCAAGTCTTACAATCTATAAGGAATTTCGTTATCAAGTTATTTTTTTTTCAGTGACAAGTATCCAGCTATAAATTGTCTTTTGAGCTATGTTAACATAATCTTGTTTGTTTCCAGCTAAGCACGCCACTGAAGTTCACTGCTTTGGGCCCAGTGCGGTACTTCGAGGCACGGGAACAATGGCGCATCACCGACCTTCTCTTCAACCCCATGGTCCTCATGACGGTCGTGCCCCTCGGCCTCATGCTCCTCATGCCTAAACTCAGTGACCCTGAAACCCGGCGGGAAGTTGAATCCCAGTTCCAGCTGCCCAAGACCGAGGCCCCCGACCTCTCAGAGATGGTCACGAACTTCTTGGGCATGGGATCACCGAGCACCTCATCATCTAGTGGGCCTGCAGCTGGTACAGCTTGTGATGCTAGAAGACCTGGGCGTGGCGGGGCGAGGGCCGCTAGACGGAAAGATAAATAGATTATTTCGTCTAGAATAAAAGTTCAATTAGGTTGTTAGCCTAGATATTTGGCATCTAAGCTCACCTTCTTAGAACCTCGTATTGTTCAGATTTGAAATTTGTATTAATTATTGATTTTAACCTTATTTATACGTGTCCTTCGTTGAGTCAGAGTATAAAGCTTCATGTTTTATGCATCTACTTAAGACGTTGTGGTGTGTCTCAAAGTAGATATGTGTGTGACAGGAAAGAGTTCGAAGTGATTTATTGCTGACTGATGCTCTATTCTTTTTTCCTGAGCTCGAATTCTAATTCCCTGGGCCCGGAATTGAGACCGATTATCTGAGGCTTTCAATCAAGAAGCAGGATTCTGTTGCTACGTTACTAGGGCTCGATTTATAGTTAGAAAATATTTCCCAGTTCTAATGAGATATTTGTTTGGTGGTAATCATGGTCCTGTAATTTTGGTATTTTTTCTATTTTGGGCGTTGTTTATTGTTTGTGTTATTCTTTTATATTATTGTCAACTGTTTGGCGTCGTACATACGTACTTTAGACGTAAGATATTAGGATAGATTACGAAACTCGTTTTGTGAATCTTGTACTCGCTGGCTTGATAATTGAATTTTGTACGTCATTCATCTTCCATTTGATTCCTTAATTTCATGCTATCTTGAGGATGTGATTAGGGCTGAATGGTTAGGTCATCGCTTGTATAAAAGCTTGTGCTAGTGTTTATTTGTGCAGAATTGTTGTGACATCAAACTTTGTGGGGACTCTTGTTTCTACGCTTCCTTAAATTTGATTCATATTTCATTGTAACTGCTGCATCTAATTCTGATCTGTCGATGCAAAACTTCATGGCGGCGCTAAGTGAACATAATTCAAATTGTATAAAATAGATATTGTTTTCTCACTACTGGGGTAATCAAGGCTGGTGGAATAGATAGTTGACAAAGACGAATTAAATAATGTCTTAAATGGCGACCTTCAAACTTCCTGGTCAGTTTGTTGTACAATATCGACTATAATACTTTTTGGCACTTGATACAATTCATGCTATATTGTTATATATTAACAATGTTCATGCTTTTTTATTTGCTGTGCATAGCTTCTCGCTGAAATAGATATTTCTTAGTCCCTTTGGATTTTCTTTTAATAGTCGAGTTATAGGATTGTTTATTGTTGTTATTCCTGTCTGTAGGTTTGAGAAAACGTTTTGTGATGCTTGGAGCATGATAGTGACTTGTTGGAGTCATGATAGTGACATGCTGGAGTTATGATAGTGACATATGTTGGAGCATGATAGTGATTTGTTGGAGTCATTATTGCAACACGCTGGAGTTATGATAGTGACTTGTTGGAGTTATGATAGTGACATGTTTGAGTTATTATAACGACATGTTGTAATGACATGATAGCGACATATTGGAACATGTTGGAGTTATGAAAGTGATACGCTGGAGTCATGATAGCGACACGTCTGATACGCTGCAACACTTCAAAGCCAACACACATTTTTCAAGCAACATTGCAGGGAGTTAAAAATATATGCAAGTTCTTGACTTGAATTGATGTTTCTGTGAAAATTTTTTTGCTATAGCATATATCTCACCTAAGCTAACTTACATCTGCACCATATAGTAATAATATTTCTATCGTCGTGTGGAAGCGTAACGCTCTTTCTCTTTCAATTGAATGTATATCTTCATCTCATTATAGGTGTGGGTAGGGTGTCCTTGGTGCTGATTGCTTTGGGTGAGTGAATACTGTATAGCTATTTATTGCTTGGTCTTTGAAATTTCTCGCGGTTATGTTCCAAATTGTTTCTTTTCCGGATAAGGGATCGTTTTTCTTTATGAGGAATTCGAACTAAACAAATTAACTAATTTGTGAGTTGCACATCTTAGGTAATAACCCCAAACCTGTTACAACTTGTATCATCCTATGTGTAGATCCTGAGAATAATAATTATTTTCTGTTCAACTTACACGTTTTGTTGCAAATTCACGTGCCGTTTGTGGTCGTATTTAATTGTTATACGTGTTGGTAGTTCATTCCTTTGAGTGTTTGCCTGGCAATTCATGATTGCTTCTCACGATGACCGGTGCAATCTTGTCCTCGAAGCTGTATATAAGTTTCTTGTGCGCTGGTGTGCATATAAGTAAAAGATTGCCTCCATCACCTGTGAGTCTATAACCTCTTTGTGTTGCACGTCATTAAAAAGTCATTATATGAGGACTTGTGGGTTATATTATTTATTCCAGCCACGCCCCTGGGTGCAGGAATGCCCATAATGCAGTGGAAGCTGGACGCAGGATGATGTGCACATGGTGCGGTAGAAGCATATATTGTGCCTAAATTAGCAATGATGTACCTACCGATGAATTAATATCGGTTTTGAAGAAGACTTAAAACCAAAAAATTTACTTTTAAAACCATAACATTGGTTATTTAGTGCAAAGATGCGCCATACAACCAAACAAAGCTCAAAATTATTTCGGCACAATTTTAACTAGAGTGAAATTGATTTATAGTTCATTTGCTACGCCATCTATGTAACGGATTGCTAGATCAGTACATTGCCCACACATTCTACTTGAGGCAGGATGAATTTTGAAGTAATAGTAGTCCAGTAATTTCTATTTCTTTCAAGCGTAATTTGAAGCTTTAATCACCATGAATTTTGGCTTTCGTAAGCTCAGAAAAGTTATTAAATTTAGTCGCCAACGTTCCTTCTCACGAGTTAAGTTTCTTCAAATACCAATAAATTACAGTCTGCCGCCTTCAGCTGCTTTACATTTATAACAAAATAAGAGGTTAACCCCACGTGGCTAGTTAAACGGTTAAGTGTATTATGTAGTTGGTTAAAATAAGTGGCAGGTAAACGAGATGAGTAAGTAAAGCTGAAGTTTCTCGGGAGGTGTTTCGTTTTTTCTTCTCTAGACCTATATAATATAATAAATAATGTACATAACAGTGTCAGCTTTTATTAGGCTATGTTGGCCTGTCGCCTTTTCTTAGACCTTGCCGATTCTTATTAGGATTTTTATAGTTTACTGTAAGTTTCGAACCTTCAACTCGCGAATTCAATCAGGGGCTCAAAACCACTCGGCCACACCGAGATTTCTACAGCGATAAACTCTCAGCAGGAAATTGAATATCTTTTTTCCGCTGAATCTAACTGGCCAATTTCTTTTTTTTTATTCCATGTCTGTCAATGTCTTGACCTCGAGGCTTCGTTAATGTCCGATGTTCTTGAACCTGTTTTTAGAAAACTCGCTTAGGTGCACATAGCGGCCTAAGTACACGTAGCGGTCTAAGTACATGTAGCGCCTGAGCACATGTAGCGCCTAAGCACACGTAGCGCCTAAGCACACGTAGCTCCTAAGTTCACGTAGTGGCCGATTTCTAGTCTGTGATTGGTGGGCTTAGCTCAAAAACTTGTGAATTATTGGCTGACGGAGTTATGAAGTATTTATGAAAGTACGGCCCAAGGTAACATCCCGACACGGTTTATTCCGATGCGCGTTCTAATAACTCCTGTTTATTTACAGAGCCAGGCTTCCAATAAAAGGACCACATGAACGCCTTCAAAAACAGACTAGACGAAGCTATGCAGGAGCATATGTTCAGTCTTAAAATGCCTAGCAAATTACGGAGCAGGCAATAAGTCCAGCAGCTATCTCAATCAATCATCAGCTATGGAAAGATCGGGTTCCAAAGGCCGGATCCCTTGTGAATCAAGTCACGAAAAGTTCAAGAATCGGCAACAGGCCATGGGCCTATTTATTCAGTGCCGACAGTTCTATTGTATTCTATGACGTTTTAAAATATTCTACAGAATATTATATATCATATAGACTTTATAAAATAGTATAATATTATATTATTACCATGGCCTGAATAAAAAAAGTCATCGCTCGAATAACAGATTAGTGCAATTGAAAGTCGATGGAGAGGATCGTACGGTATATTTTAGTATAATTAAAATACGGAGCTAATGCTATCAGATAGAGAACTGTTTTCTTTGCGTACCAAGCAAATCGCACTCACATCGTAATCTAATTACGTTCGAGTATTAATCACAACAATTATTTAATAAATTACTTGTGCATTTATAAATTACTAATAGTTGATATTAGCGAAGAGATAGTAGATAATTAAGAATGGTTTAAATATTGTCCGTTATTATTTAATTTGTTGGCTAATTTATTCGAGAGTTAAACGCCAGGTGCCGAAATTATTCAGTTTAAATAATGTTTCGCCAGTTGACAGTAATTAATTTTGAAGACTATAAGCACTTCAGCTGATCCTTCGCTTGTGAGCAAGTGAATCCAATGGCATCTAATGTTGAAAAAACGTTGATTAGGCTTTGTTTTAACGTAATCAATGTTGAAAGAACGTTGATTAAATGTTGTTTTAACGTTATCAACGTTGTAACAACTTAGCGTTATTTGCTGTAGAGTGGGAAGGGCTCCCGTCTCACCTCATCCTCCGCTAGTTGAGTACATTATAATGTCGAGACATGAAGAAATGAATTTAAACACAAGTTTAGGAAAGAGCGAGGCAACTGGAATATACCGGATTGTCGCCAGTTCAGCCAAACAAACCTGTTATAATAGAGAATTTTGTGCTTCACTGGCGTCAGGTAATGAGAAATTGAAAGAAATAATTTATCTAGTGTACAAGGAAACTTCCGAGGAAGCACGAGCACGCGGCTGGCAGCTTGAAGCTCTCGACGGCGAAGGGGAAGTACACGTCGTAGGGATCGTACACGAGGAAGCGGTGGTACGTAGATTTCTGCGTGCATGAGGACTCGTAACAACTCGGCAACAGAGGGCAAGGCTGGCCCGGCTGCAAGCATTCCTCTAGCCTCACCGTCTGCGTGATGTCTTCGTAGTTTACTTTGATTGCGTTCACTACAATACGCCAGCGACCATCCGTGTTAACCGCTCGCAGAGGACGAACGTACGCTGTCTCTGACGCACATAAATACGTCTCCTCGGAGACGTCGTGCAAACCATCGACTGACGTCACCGTGTTCAGGTCTGCAAAGTCTGCGTAAAGTTTAAGGAGCTTATCGCTGTTCTTTTGAGCCGCCCCTTGGATTTCATACATCGGGTATTCGTTGTCTTCGAGGCAGTAACTTTTCGAGGTGTTGTGTGCACAAGCCGGGATGTCTTCGTACGAGTTCGCGTATTGGGGTGGACCTGGTTTCTGGGGAGGCAGCGCCCCGTAAGCAGGGGTGTTTCTGCTCACAGGGTAAGTTGGCGGTGGTGAGTAGCTTGGGGTTACGTAAAGAGGAGAAGGTGTCTCATGGCGAACAGGTTCGTAGACCGGGAATGTTGTGGTGGTGGAAGGGTAAGACATAGGCGGCGTCGTTTTCCGGTATGGCTCCCGTGAGTGCACCGGGGGCTTGTAAGTGGGAGGTCGAATTGGTCGAGTGAAGGATTTAGACGAAGACTTGAAGTTGAAGGATGCAGAAGGACTTCTGTGGGAGGAATGCTGGAAGCTGGAGGGGCCGACGTGTGAGTGTGCAGCGGGGCTGCTGCGGTCGCCCGCTACCACCGCCGCGAGCAGCGCCTGTCCAGTGTAAAATAACGAATTTATTTAGAATACTGCACACTGGGGCATTTTGTTTTACCTTGTTTGGCAAATAAAATAAATTTCAATAAAATGAAACCGCTAAATATGTTCCAAGAAGAAGTTAACACAACTGAAAAAATTTACAATGTCCAAAACTTTCTAAGACTGCGCCGAAAGAATGTTTTCAATATTATTTTATTACTTTTCTTATTATAAAAAAATGATTGATTCCAACCCTCCACACACACTTTTTTGTTCGCAATTGGCACGTCATAAAATGTATAGGAAGACTTTTTAATGTTTCGTGGTATCATTAAAGTTCGAATATTCGATGACCCAGTCGCTCCTGCAGCACTTGAGTGAGCTGAATCTATCAGGTGTTCAAGTAATTAGACATAGAATATATCATTAATTTTTTTCTTCTGAATAATATTTTTCTTATACAGTATTCGAATATTGTGCAATTAAAGAAGCTAATAGCAGCTTCGTTCAAATGCCATTTGTCTTGTCTGTGCCATAGCATTGCGGGCAGTTTATACGTGAATAAAATATTATTATTATTCATTTGAGGTGCAACTGAATTCCTATTTCAGCTATTTTGTGGCTTCTGACATCGCTGAAATCCTATATTTACAACAGAATTACTATTTTTATCTCATATATACACAGTCATGAAAAAATTGTGTCACTTAAACCAGTAATATCGTGGCAGGGCGCATGAGTGAACAGAATGTCGACATCCTAAGCGACACTCAGACAAATTAGGGTTAATTTGTTCAACTAAAGATGCCCATTTTTCCCTTGTGTGGATCATCAAGAAAATAACTTTAATGTAATGAAAGAAGGAAGTGTACATGAAAGGCTTCTGCCGTGCTTTTTAACATCTTTTATCTGTTATATATGTAAGTTTATTAAAATTAATATTATATTCAAGTTTCTTTTAAAATTAGATTGCATTTAAATTACATGTATAAAATTCTTGAAGGTAATTAATTTACATCAATATTTTGTACTTTGTTGGATCGATGCTACAATAAATGTACATCAAATGTATCAATATTGTGAATTGTATTAAGATGGCGGCATGCCGTTTAATTTCACTGTAAATAATTTTTCAGAGATTAAAATCGAATAAGTTTTATGCTGAAAAGTCTAAAACAGAGCTTCGGTTATTTCTAAATTCATCCTAATCTGCACTCGAAGCGAATTTGAGGATTTGGAAACAATTTGTGATGATATCAACTATCATGATGTAAATAACTGCTTCGATCGCAAAAGGATTCTCTATGAAAATTTTTTCAACAACAAAATGCATTGATTGTAGAATTTGAAAGGAATAAAGTAAAGCTTTCATTTTATCTCGGTTAAAGTGATAATTCCTTACTAATAATTGGAGCTTCATCTCGTCTGACGCACTCCACGACGACACAAGACTCAGTGGCATGCGGTTCACAACTGCAGCGGCTTATATAGCCTCCCGCGCGGTCGCGTTCACTCGAGCAAATCTGCCTTCACAAACCGCACGCGCATAAAACTCTTCGCAAACTTCATCTCTACTTAAAAGGCCTTGAAGGAGTTTAAAAAGTTTTGAAGGACGTTAACAGGAGTTTGTAAGACCAGGTTTTGTTTATGGTAATGGCATACACGGCCTTGCATGAAGCATGTATATACATGCTTGTATCTGTAGTTCTGTGACGGCAAACACTTTCTCTGCCACTAAATGCCTCGTTGTGTTAATTTCCGAATTTAGTTCACGATGGTCAAATGCATAATTGAAATTCTAATTTAGAACTTTGAAAAAGATTAATTAATTCTTGATTATGGTTAATATTTATTGATTTAGTATATTTTCTTTGTTTAGCTAATGGCACACCATTTAGCTACGAATCGAACAATTCTGAGTTGAAAATCCTTCATATTTAACTTGAATTAAAATAAATTAGAATGTTGCTTCTCTGGATTTCACGGTAAGATGAGCGACCGTAAATTTGTCGCTTGCGTCTAATGGAGAAAATATTGATGATTTTACGAGGTCTGGCGAGACGAGGTCGTTAGCGAGTGTGGTTACGAGCCTCGATAACGAGGTCACCACAGCGGTCACTTGCTGTGTGGTGCAGCAGTTGTGTGGTGCAGCAGTTGTGTGGTGCAGCAGTTGTGTGGTGCAGCAGTTGTGTGATGCAGCAGTTGTGTGGNTGTCTTCCCCTTGTCTTCCCCTTGTCTTCCCCTTGTCTTCCCCTTGTCTTCCCCTTGTCTTCCCCTTGTCTTCCCCTTGTCTTCCCCTTGTCTTCCCCTTGTCTTCCCCTTGTCTTCCCCTTGTCTTCCCCTTGTCTTCCCCTTGTCTTCCCCTTGTCTTCCCCTTGTCTTCCCCTTGTCTTCCCCTTGTCTTCCCCTTGTCTTCCCCTTGTCTTCCCCTTGTCTTCCCCTTGTCTTCCCCTTGTCTTCCCCTTGTCTTCCCCTTGTCTTCCCCTTGTCTTCCCCTTGTCTTCCCCTTGTCTTCCCCTTGTCTTCCCCTTGTCTTCCCCTTGTCTTCCCCTTGTCTTCCCCTTGTCTTCCCCTTGTCTTCCCCTTGTCTTCCCCTTGTCTTCCCCTTGTCTTCCCCTTGTCTTCCCCTTGTCTTCCCCTTGTCTTCCCCTTGTCTTCCCCTTGTCTTCCCCTTGTCTTCCCCTTGTCTTCCCCTTGTCTTCCCCTTGTCTTCCCCTTGTCTTCCCCTTGTCTTCCCCTTGTCTTCCCCTTGTCTTCCCCTCTTCTTCCCCTCCCCCCACACCTCCAACACTGAAGACGATGCAGGAGTCTCACGCCATCGGCACGTCTCCGTTGCACGTCACCTCCGCGCCCTGCCATCTGGCAACCCGAATATTAATATTATTATATTATTATTATATTATATTATATTATATTATATTATATTATATTATATTATATTATATTATATTATTATTATAAATAACTATTATATCATTCATATAAGAAATTATTTAATGTAACTCATGCACAATTTGCTTTTTGACTCAAAGATACTATAAAATATCACTTTTTTCACTTATATATGTGCATTTAAAAATAACCTGGGTGATTTTATAGCTTACGATTGGTACATTACAGTGAATAATTTGATAGGCAGGTTCTGCATAGAATTTTACGCATGAGGCATCAAACTTAAGGGAACTCACTTTCATTGATTTAAATCAACGTTGAATAAGCAAATAAAACTGTAGAACTCACTTACTAGGAGTCCATTAGTTCAACATGGAATATAGATAATTTATGATGGAGAACGGAGATTCGGTGAGAAATGATCTTTTTATATGTCTAATATAACAATTATTTTTACGCATTTCTAACACGGCATTGTAAAATGATTAGAAAGAACATAGTTGGACTATGAGGAGAACATGACAGGACTATGAGGAGAACATAGCAGGACTATGAGGAGAACATGGCAGGACTATGAGGAGAACATGACAGGACTATGAGGGGAACATGGCAGGACTATGAGGAGAACATGACAGGACTATGAGGGGAACATGGCAGGACTATGAGGGGAACATGACAGGACTATGAGGAGAACATGGCAGGACTATGAGGGGAACATG